GGAAGTGGTAGGGTCCAAGGTTGTTGCCCCACCTGCACCCACCAAACATGAGAAATTTCTCTAAGTCCTCATGACACATGAAAATTTGGGAATGAAATTATGTCAAAATAAAGCTTTAGATTGTATTATTATATGTGTATCAGAATGATTTATGGTTTCAATATGTCCTTCCAAGAGTATCCATGGGTTGTCATTGCCTAAGGTGCACTAAGAGCTGCTAAACCTGCTAAGGAGGATGGCCCCATTCAAATGTCAATATTTTTGCCAGAAGTGGACCCATGCTCTAGAGCCTTTAGCTGGATTTAGAAGATTTTAGCAGCTCTTAGCTGCAGCTTAGCTACCCCCCTGCTAAAGGCTGCTAAGAGCCTTCGACCTTTTTCCTGATGAAATTCTATCTCTAGCTGGTTGCAGTATTCGACGACAACAACCCTCACTACGTCAAGTCTAGCGACTGGCTCGAATCCTAGCCAAGGCGACAGAGTATCATTTGTCGGTCAAATACAGGAGCCAAGTCTATCATCAACCCTGACCCAAGTGACCTGCGAAAGAGAACAATACAATCCCTGGGTTCAAAGTTTGTCGCCTTTGACGATCATTACCATTACTAACCTATTCTCATATAGTAAGTGGCAAGGATGTAAGAGCTCGAGATATCAAGAAAGGAGACGAGGATTTTATGACTGCCGATGAATATCTCTCTTACTGGCCTATCAAAGAGAAACTCGATGAGACCGATACCCCGCTGTAGGCAATTTGTTCGTTACTTGAGGCACTAGGCACTCTGTTGTATATATCAATCCAGCTTTTAATCAATGTAATCTTGTCGTTCCGTTTAACATTCCTGGGAAAGTGCTGGGAACCAGACGGCGGTCGGCCTCGATATACTAGGCTATTTCGGCTCGAGTATATTTCGCTATCACCTTATATAGTCTATGGAATGCCAACTATAAGACTCAATTTGTTCAGTTGGCGACGCGAACGCGCCGTTCCCTTTGTAGGTAGCTACACAATTGGCTTTGGTAGAAAGGTTTAGCTCAGATTTCACGTATTAGTTCGGATAGAAATGGTATCAAGTATCTCCACAAATAGTTAAATAAAGACGTTGAATTGTGATTAGACTGAAACGTAGATACGATGTCGGTAAGACTAGGGAGTTTGAAGAGTTGATGCTGCTTCATGTTCATCTGAGGGTTGAGATGATGTATGTGCATTCCGAAAGTAAGATTGCTTAGGAAAGGGTTTGGGGTAATGCTTCTTTGTCCAATGACGTTTCAAACCATCTCGTCGCACCAAGGCTTGACTGTGAAAACACGATTCATATATAGACTGAACAAGCATGCTGGACGCACCACTCTATACATGTCAGTTTTCTGGCTTGATTCCTGATATGATCGTCCAATTGAGTTTTAGAGGGAAAATGCGCGTGGACACTAATATTCAATTGACAGTTTACGATGCTCCAGCGGATCAAAGGCTAAACTCACCTATAAGGCTCTGGTCCACACTTGAAACAACCTACGTCTTCGCCAGGACAACGGAATGGTCGATGGCCAAGGTCCGACCGAACGCAAGTAATCGCCCGTTCTTGGCTGCCTTTGTTTGTATCACAAATACGGCATCTTTTTTGTTTTTCATCAATTAATACCCAGTATATTGACTTTTCGAGAGTTCTAGCGTGCTGAAAAATACGTGGAGCCACTTCTCCATTCAGAATTGCTCGACCCTCTGCGCTTCCAATCGTTGGCTCTGGCTCATTTTCAGAGAAGAAGTTTGACTGCTTTATACGCTGCACAAGGGTCTTGTACCCGGAATCGATAAGAGATTCGTTCATAGCGCTTTTGCGTGGCGGCCTGGAAGCTTTTCCGCCCTTTTCTGGGAACACGGTCTTCGTGTCACCTCCTGAACAAGCAGTGCCTGCCGGAGAGGAAGTCATGTACTGATCCTACAATACTTCATCAGTTGCTTGGTAGTGTATCGGTCGATGAACTTACTTTCGCCTCCTGTACACTTTCTCCATTATCAGCCTCCTCGTTAACAGAAAATTCATCATATCCATATCCATCGAACTTATTGCCATCATCTAAGATATGCCTCTTTGAAACAATCGGCATTGGGTCAAGTGACAGGTGTGGAAGAGTTCCAAGGTATTGGGCTTTTGTTCCACCAATGGTGGCTGTACAACTCCTTATTCGGGAGTATATCAGCGATATTTGAGATTGCTTACAATTCGCCACTTTTAATTACCAGAAACTGTGGTTGTTATTTCCAGGTCATTGGTTTCTTCATAAGCGAAGGCCAACAGAATGTTTCCGACAAGGTAGTTTCGACAAGGTAGTTCCGACAAGGCAGCTCCGACAAGGTAGTTTCGACAAGGCCGACAAGGAGATTCATGTGAGATGTTCTTATAGACCAAAAACCATGGGAGAGCTAGGAAATTTTACTTGCTCTAGACTCAGGACGGCACGGGACAGCCGTGAAAAAGTGAAGTGGGCCAAATTCCAAGAATGTCAAGGCCTACAACCTCGGGACGACAACTCACCTCTCCTCATTAGCATGTACAAAGTGGCGTGGTCCTTGGAAGGTTGTTTGGGCCGTTGTTTGAGTAGCGTTGAGCAGGTAACAATCGTCGGCAGCGGTTCCGCTAGCCTCTTCGGACAGAGGTTGGCCTGCGATCAACCGTGACGGAAGAGACCTGAGGAGGTGATAGTTACCAACATCCACGACACCGTGGGCTCAGATACCTGCATCACGGTTACTTTACTCCTTCGAGGGTTGCACCTTGTAAGCTGAGTCTGATCGGTAATTAGTAGGTAACAAGTTGGTTGTCGGAATGCGCAACTTGACCATCGCCACCACAGTGTTCACGCGTTTGGATAGACTGGGCTACAATTTAATGGCGATAAACAACTTGATCCGATACCAAAAGTGCAAATGAACCCGATGTCGATGTGCTAACAATGCAGTAGCAGTTGATCGTACTTTTGAACACCGATTCGTCATCTAGCCTCACCAGGATGTTAGAATCTTTTCCTTCTCCATTACCCTCTCGTCGCATATGATCTATGCATCTTACTCCGTAACTTCTTACTCGGTTTTCTGGGGACGAACCGCTTGGACTGACTGAGAGGTCGTACCATTATGGCGCGACTACAATCGCCAGTGCGGCCACAACACCCACACCGAGACTGGCGCAAAAAGCAGTTGATGGAGACGGCAAATGAAGGTGTGGAGAAGGATATGGCGTATGAGCGCCATTTAGGGTGTTGATGAAGAAGATGAGTGCATCAACCATTACGTCCACAGGGTCTATATGTTGATATCTTTCGGATCTCTTCAGCGCATTGCAGACCTTTGTTCCAACCTCCCACTCTCTGGCAACAACATACCTTCCATTATTCACAATCGTCACAAGCAGCTCGACCTTGTAGGAGCCGCCCCCTTCACATGATTTCACCCACGCCATACCCCGTTGACCTCGGGCATAAGAGTAGCTCCTACCGCCCACAGCAGCACGACACTCTCCCGTATCCCTCACCAATGTCAGCTTTTCCTCCTCACGTAGCCCTTCTCCGGACGCGCTAGCACTTTTGAAAGACGGACTCTGTGAGTGAAAGGATCATCCTAATTAGCCTATCTGTTGACACTGCTATCAGAGAATCTCACTCCCACTACGGTATGAATGGTCGCTCGCATGCATCTCAAGAGTATACCAACTGGCCCGAAGCCACTTCAAAGACATCGCTAAACTATGGTTGATGTCATATGGGTGGATGTGTCCTGTTGATGAACACTAGTTGGTGTATACTATCTAGTTGAATGACGGAGTCATTGATATACGAGATCAAAGGATGAAAGAGAAGGAAAAATGACGTGAACAAAGAGGATTCTCGACTGTAAGGGAGACTGGGCCATGAATTTGCGGCCCGCCTGCCC